TTAACAGAACCGGTCTCGAGACCATGAGGTTTGGATAACGGGAACTGCAGAACCAGGAAATGACTGTTGCCTTTTAAAAGTTTTTGCTTTTAATTTGAGGAAGCTGCGGTGCGTGATGCTTTGACTGCGGCTTTCTCTTTCTACTGTCTCCAAAATCAGGGTGAAACTTTGCCTTTGCCTAATCTCACAGCAAAACCTACTGGAAGTTTTGAGAATTTCACTGTGGTGGGGGGGAGGATGTTCAAAAAGTGACCTTAAAACAGTCCGTCTTTCTCTCTGAAGAGTGGTGTTAGTGGTTTTTTGGGTTTTTTTTTGTTTCCTGAATGTTTTTAAATGCTGGCGTCAGCCATGGCTGTGGTGGTGTGTGCTGCACAGCACGTGTCCTTTGAGTATAAAATGTCACTTGGGATGAGGTGAAGATAGAGGGAGACGGTCATGAAGAATCGGGGGGGTGGGAGTTCATGGGGGGCAGTCATTCTGCATCGTTTGATCACGGACTGGTCTGGTTTGTCGCTTGTTCACTCTGTCTTGCTTGTAGCCTGTGCTGGTTAGCAGTCAGCGCTAGCTTGCATGAGGTCTGTGCTCACTGCATCCTATATATGCCTGCCTAGTGTTAGAGGCCTTTTCACACTCAGTACTGCCCTTGCTTCCACAATGTGCCAAGTATCTGCTAGGCCAGGCTCTGGCATCCTGTCCTCTGGGGTGTAACACTGCACCCTCATCTGCCTTCACACCACAGAGCATGGGTCATGATTTGTTTCATCTCAGTCACTCTAGAGCAAGGATTTGCTGAGGATACCTACTCCTCTCTTCAGGGTTCACTCATCCCCGCCTCCAGCCAGTGGTTCACAAGCAAAAGGCAGAGAGTGATGTTCCCTTTTCTAGAAGACGAGATGAAGCTGGTGCATCGTACCTCTGTACGGCTTTCCTGATGTATAGAATGTGTCGGACTGAATCATTGCATTGTATATCTGTCTTCCTGTCAACAAATTTTAATAATTAAATAAAAGTATTTTAGGATTTTTTAAATGAAACTAGCTTGATGTTTGATGTTAACAGGAAGAGGGGAGAGGCTTGTTGAAATGCTGGCTCCGTGGGACCACTTCACATTTCAGCAATGGCAACTTAACTTAGTCCACTCTCTAGATGGTCTGATCCTAAGATTGACGATAACTTAAGTCCAGCAGTTAAGCTCAGTTCTATTCTTGAAAGTCTTTCAGATTCTTCTTTCTTGTGGCTGATTTGGAGCATCAATTCTAAGTCTAGTTTAAGGTTAGTTAACCAGTCTAATGCTTTTGAGGAAAGGGAATGCATCTCTGCAATGTCACTGTCAAATTTGTTTAGAGTGTTACGTGTCCATAGTTTGATCAGGATTGCCAGTCGCATTTTGCAGAACTCCTAATACACCATTTGTGCATCAAGTGACCGCAGCAGCTGTGCCTGGTTTGGATCCGATTTGGTCTTTCAGATGACACCATAGCACAGGTCCTCCCTCCCTGCCTGCCTTAGCTGGACACTGAAAACCCTTGGGAAATGCTGTTCCAGGTGTGTTTGGCCGGGGCTTTCTGAGGATCCAACTTTGTCCCTGTAGGCTTCAGTCAACCCTTTCTAGTTTTATCAGCAAAACTCACCCGTTGTCACTGTCCGTGCAGTCCTGAGAGCGCTCAAGTCTGAGTCAGGCTGACAAAGTGCTGAACGCTTGCCAGGAAAAATTAAACCAGTTTCCTAGCTAACAAAAGCTTTTTTTTTTTTCCTTTGGTCACACGGGCATTGTGCTAGCAAAGGAACAGGAACCAGTGCTCAAACAGTCCCTGCAGCCGTGACGCACTGTGACCTTGAACTCTGCTGCTGCTGGCTGCATCCACTGCAAACCCGCTGCCATCTGAAAATCCCCAGGATGCGATTGAAATGTTGCCTCTTTGGTCATAAGGCTCTGGATGCTGCTCATCCTCCTGCTCCAGTGAGGTCTTGAATTCCAGAGTATTATCAGACCTCCCCAAGCATAAAAGCAATGTTACTGGCACATCTCAGAGCTGGGAGGGTAGAGCAGATGGTGGGAGATCGGATTTGGATGCAATTTAACTGGACAGCCAGAGGGATAGTGGCCATTTTGGCTTCCCCTCAAAAAAAAAAATAAAAATAAGGAGCTGCCCCCTGCAAATGGAGGCCACGGGGTGCAAACGACCCGTGCTTTGGGTGTGAGAGCAAGGAGTAGCGAACTGCATGGTAGGGGCCAGAAAGAGCCTTGCTCTGCCAATCCAAGAGCAGGCAGGCAGGTGATGAAACTGAATTGCAATGAACAGGCTGCCCCCAGGATGCATCAAAATTAATTTAAAAAATAATAGTAATTAAAAAAAAAGCAATCAATGATTTACTGAATGACTGACAATTAAAAAAAAGAATGCATTAAAAATGAAGATAATTAAAAACTAAAGAATTTATATCTAATTCACCCAAGGAACCTTGTCTGCCTATGTCCTTAGACCAACACGGCTACAACCTAAACCCCTGCATTAAAAATAAGAATTCTAAAGAATTTTTTTGCAAATTTAAATGTTTCTTTAAGTTTTTTTTTTTTTTAGTTTTTAAAGAAACATTTTTAAATAATTTTTTTGCAAAAATCTTGTTGGTCTAATACAATACATCATCTCTAGTACGAGTCCTGATTGCTTGAAAACTAAGACATCTGCAGCAGTGCCCCTTGGCGCCTGCCTTTGCAGTCCGCCGCCAGCAGGAGGCGCTGCGGCGCCGGCCAGCAGGACCATGCTCTCCTTTCCTCTGTTGACCTTTGTAGTGCGCATGCGCTCTAAAGGTGCTTCCTCGAAGAGCTACTACGCATGCGCCGGTCATGTCTCCCTATTGCGCATGTGCCCAACCAGACGCCGCGGGAATATCGCAATAAAGCTACAGCGCATGCGCCAGCGCTTGGCCTTTTTTTTTTCCCGTCGTGCTTTGCGCACTATAAATCCTCCCTTCCCGGCAGTCTCAGTCTTTTCCGCTGTGGCGGCGGGTGAGTGCGGAGTGGGGCTCTGGGGTGGGGGTAACGGGCTGCAGACCTCACTCGAGCTGAGGAAAGGGATGGGGGGGGTGGAGGGACGGTGCACCACGAGGCTCGCGATACCTCGGCTTTTGCACGCGGAATAAGGAAGCTCACAGGGGTCAGTCGGAGCCCAGTGACGGTGGCCGCGCTGGACCATCCCCAGCGCTTCGCGGGCCAAGTAGGGCTATAGGTCCTTTATGGAACCTTGAAGGCGGGGGCCAGGCTGCTGGGGGGGGATGGACAGTTGCACCTTGTAGACCAATTCGATCGCATGCACAAGGTTTTACAAGTGGCAGCTGAGCAGTGGCTGCTTGCGGGGTGGGGGGAGCAGTTGCACCTTGTAGGCCAACTCGATCAGATGTACAAGGTTTTGCAAGTGGCAGCTGAGCAGCTGTGGCTTAGTCAGTCTGCAAGGTGCAGCCCTAACTCGCCTAGCTGTCTCTGTCGTCCCCGTTGAATGCATGCTGCAGGCCCCCCCCCAGTTTCTACCCCCTGCTCCCTTAGAGACGGGTCCCACCTTGGTTTGCACCCGGCATCAGCTCCGGGGCGTGCGCGACGCTCCCTCCAGGCATGTGCGGCCTCGCCAGGACCGCAGCAGGCGTCTCTGGTCTGCAGACAAACCATGCAGGAAACAGCATTTGAGTAGTGCTGTTACATGAAGCTGTGGCAAACTGCTGATTTGGGGAGAGTAGCCAATGTTTCACTAAGCTAATGTGCTTTTTTTTGGCCTCTTTTTATGTCAGCAGTTTGCAGACGGTGGCACTCTACACACAAAGTAAGTATTTGTGGTATTTTATAGGTTCTTTGCAAATGTATTCTTCCAGGCTGTGATGCTCGTGTGATAGGGCTGGAGCTGTGAAACCAGTGCATTTCATATGTGGCTCTCGAGGCCAATGCTCAGTTTTTCTGACATTCCTGGTTTCACGTGTTGTGTGGTAGGTGACCCATCCGTGTACTGGATTGAGGTTACTGGGCCACTGACGTTGTGAGCTACTGGTTTGCATCTGGGAGGTGAATGCATGGGGTGGGGGTGGGGAACAGCCTATTGCGGTGCATTAAATCTGCTGTCCAACGTGGACATCCGGAGAGGTTGCTCTCTCTCGGCTCTGTCCGTGTGGCGTACGGGAGCGTAGGCCTTCGGGCTCCGTGACGTATAGTCCCCTTCCACGACGTTGGAGAACAAGCCGGGCCTCTGGTCTGCAGCCTGCCGAGGCCGGCCCGCTGGTCTGCAGCCTGCATATTCCTATGGCTTCTCTGAGTCCTTGGACCGTGACAGAGGAGACAAACCATGCAGGAAACAAGTGTCCCTGAAACAGCGGTGCTTGATGCCAGGGAACATACGAGGGGTTGGATCGCTCCAGATGTGACCTGTTGCACCCGCGGCTGGGAACAGGGAACGAGGGTCTGACCCTCGCTGCGCTGTTTTATGTCTTTAGATTGGTTGTTGAAACAGCTTCCTGATGGCGAGGGTGCTGTCCAGCCTCGTGCGTGTCTGTTTTGATCTCGCTTGCTTTAACCTGCTTTTTGTCCCGTGTCAGCTCTGCAGATCTCAAAGTGAACGTTTGTGCCATTGGGTTCCTGTGAAGTGATTTCCCCGCTGGAGCCAGTGCCATGAACCCTGTGATCAGAGTCCAGCATATACCTACATCCACCTGTAAGAAAACTTTTGTCGCCTGGGATCCCTTTGTTGCAGTGTCACGCATTTGGAGGAGTGTGAAATTGGTGCCTTGAGTCAGTAAGCCTGTTTGAACACATGACCTATGATTTAAAAAAAATCCCAGTGCTTATATGTTGCATGCCCTGGGCCTTTTTAGTGACTCTTGCCCCATTATATTCTCTTAAAACAAAAATCCACTTTGGTTTGGATTAGACATGAGTTCTGGTTGATGTACGTCACGCCCTCTCTGTATGTGCAGCCTGAAGATTATTAAGGCAGATTTCTCTTGGGCTTGTACAGTCTGATTAGTTTTCCTGACATCATTGATTGCAATGTGTGTCATGCGTCAAATGGAAAAGTCCTCATTGAATCGAAGAGTTTGGGCCGTTGCAGGTCTGCATTTATTTAAAAGGGGGTAGTGGGTTGTGTTTGGGAGGCTGACGTGCTTACTTTGTGTGTGGGTTTAGCAGGGCACTGCTGCAGTTTATTGATATGCTGTCCAACGTGGACATCCGGAGAGGTTGCTCTCTCTCGGCTCTGTCCGTGTGGCGTACGGGAGCGTAGGCCTTCGGGCTCCATGACGTATAGTCCCCTTCCACGACGTTGGAGAACAAGCCGGGCCTCTGGTCTGCAGCCTGCATATTCCTATGGCTTCTCTGAGTCCTTGGACCGTGACAGAGGAGACAAACCATGCAGGAAACAGCACATCCAGTCAAACAGCATTTGAGTAGTACTTTTACATGAAGCTGTGACAAACTGCTAATTTGGGGAGAGTAGCCAAGCTAACGTGCATTTTTTTTTATTTTTTATTTTTTTTGGCCTCTTTTTATGTCAGCAGTTTGCAGACGGTGGCACTCTACACACAAAGTAAGTATTTGTGGTATTTTATAGGTTCTTTGCAAATGTATTCTTCCAGGCTGTGATGCTCGTGTGATAGGGCTGGAGCTGTGAAACCAGCGCATTTCATATGTGGCTCTCGAGGCCAATGCTCAGTTTTTCTGACATTCCTGGTTTCACGTGTTGTGTGGTAGGTGACCCATCCGTGTACTGGATTGAGGTTACTGGGCCACTGACGTTGTGAGCTACTGGTTTGCATCTGGGAGGTGAATGCATGGGGTGGGGGTGGGGAACAGCCTATTGCGGTGCATTGAATCTGCTGTCCAACGTGGACATCCGGAGAGGTTGCTCTCTCTCGGCTCTGTCCGTGTGGCGTACGGGAGCGTAGGCCTTCGGGCTCCATGACGTATAGTCCCCTTCCACGACGTTGGAGAACAAGCCGGGCCTCTGGTCTGCAGCCTGCATATTCCTATGGCTTCTCTGAGTCCTTGGACCGTGACAGAGGAGACAAACCATGCAGGAAACAGCACGTCGTCATGTAGCATCTTATGTGCGGGTAGGGTTATTTATCCAAGTAACCCTACCCGCACACAATGAAAGATACTATATAATACAAGCTGTTATAGAAGGCTAATACAAACTGCTGATACCTTTGTGGGTATTCCTTTGGGATCTTGCTAATCTAACATGCTCTTTTCTTGTTTTGTTGCAACAGCTTTGCAGACTACTACTTCACTGACAGAGTGAGTATTTGAACTGTTTTGTGGCTTCCATTGTACCTGCAAATGGAGCCTTCTAGCCTGTAATGTGTATATGGCTGTCCAAACTAACAAGTCCCACCATCTGGCTGGTATAGAAGGATCCCCCTGGTAGACCTTTTGAAGGAGCGGGGAGGTCTGTTGACTTTGGACTTGTCTCCTCTTAAATTCATGCCCATCGATGTTTAAAGATTCCCTTTTTCTCTTTGTTGCCGGGCCTGTGCAACTTGTCCCGTGAGCTGTTTTATTTCATAAAAGGTTCCTTTTTGTTGCACAAGGTAGGTCTTCTAGTACATCTGCATCACCCTTTCTCGACACTGATAGCCTGGCTCAGTGAAAACAGCAGATCTCTTTGTGACTCTTAAAAGTCACTGCTAAATTT